TGCAGTAGGATAGGTGTATCTGAGGTGAATGTGTACACACATAAAAGATGATGAAAGGGCAGGATGATGACTAGACAAAACATAATCACTTAGGACCACAACTTAAACCAGACCAGTGGAATTTAAGAAACATCGGCCCACACCTCTATAAAAGCTTGTAAACGAGGTTGACAGTTTTGAACAGATTCTCTCTTAACCTAAAGGACGCTGTACGTAGTTACAACTGTCATGAAATAAACATTAGGAGTACGTAGAGATTATGTGATCCGATTCGTTAATTTTAATTTAAATAATTTATAATATTAATCAAAAAAATAAGAAAAAGTAATTTTTTTTTTCACGTAAGTCATTTTTATTGAAATTGAACGAAAAGCAAAGTAATAATGATTCTATTTGAAACTAGCTGAACTATGTAGTTTTTAAAGGTTTTGGGGTAAAATGAGTTAGATTTGTTTAGATCTTGATTTTTTATCGGCTTATGCAACAGTTTTTTAGACCAAAAAATTTATTTAAGCTAATTCAAGAAACTGATTTTATAAGTTTTTTTTTCTAATTTTTCGGAGTTGTCGCGGGTCCCACTTAATTTTTTAATTTATTATATTTATAAAATATTATTAGTGACGTAAAAAAATTTAAAATTCATATTTTGGAGACTATTATACATAATATATACATACATGTAATTATTTTATTAAAAAACCAAAAAAAGATAAAATAGTCACTCCAAATGGACTTTTTTTATCTTTTCAAAGAACATTTTTGAAGAATTTTTTTAATTCTGATTTTTTCTAAAAAAAAATTCAAACCATTCACCTAAAAAAAATTAACTCTAAATACGTCCAATATCAAACAATAATATTCCGGTACCATAATCGGGCCCACTTTGGAATTATAATGTTTGTAGTTCGTACTTTATACAGCCTTTATGGGTTGCAATGGTGGGTAGAGTAGCAAATTGCAGTAAATACTTCCAAGCAATCATACAAATTTAGTGGTCCAAACAAAAAAAAAAAAAAAAAAGAGGTGAGACATGAACTAGAATGTCTTGAAATTGTGTAATTCTAGTAAAATTAGAAAAGGATTTGTTTGATGCGCATAATTTATTGGTAATTATATAAATTCATTATGCAATTAATATTAATACGACTCAAACTCAGATCGTGTCTACAGATGTAAAGGTCTTCTTAATCTATAAACATACTTTACACACTACCCATGTTATTGTTATTGGAAAACTATAACAATGTATTCTCATGTAAATATATCCATGTGATCAAAAATAAGAGTGTTATTGTGTCGTATTATTTTCGTTTCATGTCGTGTCACTTTCGATCGTGTTATTTCTGTATTATATCACTTTCGGTACGTGTCGGTTTCGTGTCAATATTCGTGTTAATAAAAAATTATTTAATTTGATAATAACTAATATAATATTATTTAAAAAATTATAAAATTCTTATTTTCTATCTACAATACTCGTTAAATAATTATTTTCTATATACAATACTCATTAATTGTGTTATTTGTGTCGAACTTTAATTTGACTCATTTATTACTCGTGTCAACTTATCGTATTATTTTCAGATTCATGTTAACGGAAAAAAGTGACACCCCTAATCAAAATATACAAAGGAATTCAACGTTCCGTTTAGTATGGTGAAAAAATAGAAAGTTGGAAAAATAGATAAAATTTCATATTTGGTAAGAAAGAAAATATGATTGATTGACGAGTTTTCATTCTAACTCATCAAAATCAATCCCTCCAAAATTAGAAAGAAAATGGATGAAAAGTTAATTATTTGTGTTGAAATATATTTTATTTATCTATATATCCTTTGATATATACATATATTCTGTATATATTATATTTTTTATAAAAAAAATAAATTAAAATTTTAAAAATTAAAAATTAAAATTAAAAAAACATTTTTCCTGTCTTACCAAACACAAAAAAAAAATTAATCATTTTTATTTCTCACCCATCTAACAAAACACAAAGGAAGGAAAATATATCATTCATATTTTCTTTACTTAAAGAATAGAAAGTGTATCTCTCTTACTTTCTATCTTTTCTACCAAACAGAGCATAAATATTTGTAGTAATATTATCATTGAAGTCAACGAATTAATCTATATTAATAAACGGAATGTTCTGCTTAAGCGCTTGACTTAAAAAACAAAAATAATGACCCATATTGTTTAGATAAAAAATAAAACAATGGGTCATATCTTATTACTTATATTTTCATATTTTAACTACAATAATTCTTTTTATTTATATTTAATCCATTGACCAAGGAAAATATTTTAACTATTCACTTATATATAATTACGATTAATATTGCAATCACTCACCTACGTTTTAACTAAATCACACTAATAAATAACGTGTGTTATACGAATTCACCCTAGTGTGTTTAGATTATGCCTCTCATAATTTTAACCATTCATCTAATAATGTGGCAACGACATGATTCAACAGTCTTGTTGCAACCGGGGACTGAGCTAGGATTTCATTATAAGGGGTAACAAATATTTGCCTGACACATAATTTTTATTCAATTTGTGTTATTATTAAGTTATTGTTAATGTCAATTTTTTAGATTTATGGAATATATTAAAATTAATTTCACATGATACATTGTAATGTATCCATTTTCAATAAACTTTACCAAATTATATTTTTATTCTTAAACAGCGATAGTGATTTCACTTTACATATAGACTATTGGCCGATTACATTGCCCCATCCAAAATAATTCAAAGTTTATCAATTTGTGCAAAACAAAAATTATCAAAGTCCAAAATCTCAAAATTGGAATAGTTAATGGTGCAATATGGTCAAACTAATAATGAGAATAAAGTAAAATCAAGATCATAATATGGTATAAAGTATAATTTTTAAAATTTGAGAGGCATGAAAAAGAACCAAAAACATAATTTAGAGGTATAATGTGTTATTTAGGAACTTAAGGTTTCATCATTTGACAAGTCATTTTGTCAATAAATTAAATTAATTTTTTTAAGTTTTAATAATATTACTTATTACGAAATATGGTATTATTTTTTATCTATGTCTATAAATTGCTATTATTACGAGTAATCAAGAAAAATATATCTTATTATTATTATTTGTTATGAATTATGATCATGCATGTACGGAATAATGCTGCACGTGTCACCTAAACACAGGCAGACCGTGGCATCCGTACCTACTAGATCAAAACAAATTCTCAACCGGCGAAATCGGAGTTTCTGGTACAAAAATGGAAGGCTACAAGAGCATTTAATAGTCCCAAACAATGAAGGATTGGACAACTCCAAGGCGCGTTGTTAAAATGTTTTTTTTTTTTAAAAAACATTGAATGGTGTTTAAGTCGACTTATGTGTATTATAATTAATTTTTTTTTTAATTCGGTAAAAAATAAATCATTCATCTAAAAATTAAGATATTCATGAAAAATAAATCTTTTCTAACCTGATTCTAATCAAAATTCGAACTCAAAACGTCTTATATTTGTTTGGTTGTGTTTGATCATGAAGAAAAAGATCACACAAAAAAAAATGGATTAGAGACAGAGACAGAGAGAAAAAAAAACTAGAACAGCAAGGAAGGCTGTTAATCAAACTGAACTACTCGAACTTAGCTTAAATTCAACTCGTTCAGACTCGATTTGTTTTTTAAACGAGCTCAAACTTGAACAAGTTTTTCGGTTTGTTTAGAAAACAAGCTCGGCTCAAACTTAACAGGCTCAACTCGTTTATGTGCAAATACTAAAACTCGACTTGATTTTAGGTCGTTTCCTAAACGAGTCGAACTTGACCAATTTTTTACGCTCAATTAAGAAACAAGCTTTTCAAACTTAGCTCGAACTCGTTCGACTAACCGTCCTAAAAACAAGACACAATATAAGGTTCTTTTGGAACGAGGAACTGGGCAGAAGGATAAAGGCTCCTATTGTCTTGCCCAAGAGGTGAGAAGAGTCGAGAACAAGTGTTATTAGAAACAGCGAATCTGCGTTCCCTCCCCTTGAAAATTTGTTTAGAGAACCCACCCTAGAAAAAAGGAGAATAAAAGAATGAACATGATTTATCGATCCTATATATAGAAGGAGAAGCAAAAGAAGATTGAAGGCTTAACTAGAGATGTTTTAGTTCCAATCTAGTTGAAACTCTTTAACACATCAAAAGAAACCGTTTTCACCACTGTACTTTCTCTTCGAAAACTTACTATCTTGAATGTGTTTTACAAAATGCAGGCGCTTGTCAAAATCTACCATGTAGTAGTACAAGACTAACTTTTTAATTGTATAAAATAATCGTTTATAAGTTCAAATTCACATTCTTATTAGATAGATATATTACCGCTAGATACAACTTACACCAACGATACCAAACTGACCTAACACCCAATTGGCTCTTACACAATCGAAGTAGTGTCAGAATAATGTCCACCCATTCATGGCGAAGTATAATGCTAACACGATATGAATACGAATGCAAGTGGGCACATAGATGGAATGTTAAATGTCTAAAGGAGGCTCCACGTGAAAGAGTAAATAGGGTCGTACAGTACCACTGATCATTCAAGTTTCTGTCTCCATGGACACAGAGAGATGAATTAAACACCTCCAGAGTTTAGTTCAGTTAAGCCAGGAGCTACGCCAAGGCTTAATGGCCACATACATCCCATGGTCACTGGAATAGGTGTTTGTTGTTACCTGGTTTCATCTGATGCGATACTCCTCAACTATTTCTCCATGTTTCCGGGTGCTACAAACCATGAATCTAAAAGGCGTGTGGTTGAAATGGTTCATCTTCACCAAAATATTAGATCAACAGTTGATCAAGAACCTTCTGTAAATTACTAAAATATGTGTAAATTACCAAAATAGTATGCCGACAGTTGGTCCCCCCCCCCCCCCCCCCCCAAAGATACTGGCTTCCACGGCGAAGAAACCCAGCCTGCAGCTGGTCCAGGGGTTATGTACAGATAGTACTGATTTCCCTTGAATGCAAATAACATATGACCTACATGAACGTTGTCATCAGCAATAAGCACTTATTCATCACCTATAAAACCAAACGATTCAATTGGTTGAGAATCAAAGCACCTGAGATCTCTTAAGGAACAACTATTCCTGATATAAAATTCATTCATTACTATGAAACACAATGTGATGATCCAGAAAAAAAAAAGATACAGAAAATGTCCATAGAAGAATAAATAAAAAACACCAAACCATCAACGAAGATTCACATTGTAGGGCCGGAGACATGATTGAATGCAAAACTGGAAGAAGTGAAGCGTAATTCTGATTTTTGCATCTGCAAATGATCATCTAAGTCTTTCGTGCTGGGCATGGGAAGTGTGTTTCTTCAATGTGTCGGGTGAGCAATGAGATACCATAATGGGAGGCACTTGAGGCAGCATAATATGATGTCACAGTGAGTTGAGCAAACTTCGGAAGTGCATAACCTGCAAATTTACAAGTTAACCTCTATATAGCTATGTAAATCAGATTGCCCAATTAAAGAACTCCAAGACCAATATAAAAGAAAGCTTTGGCTAACAAATTTGGAAGATGCCATTGTTGAATATTAATAACAAATTCATTAAGCAGATGTACAATGTCATCCAAACTATTTGGGCTAAACTTAATGGTTTTGCAAATGGACTAACTCTGATAGCCAAACCACACCCAACCCCTCACCCCCATGGTGTGGGTCCTTCCAAACAAATGAAAAGGAAGTCAAACCTAATGGAGACAGTTGTCTTAAGCATCTTTTACAATTCAAACACTATTCACCGTACTTGAAAATAGTTCACAAATCACAAGATATGTTTTATAGGCTCAAAAATAAGTGTCGGTTGCAGATATGTGCCGAAGTGTCCAATTCATCCAAAAAAGTACATTCTTTGAAGCCCAATGATCAAAATTGCCACTTGACTTGTTTACACCAATTATGTGGCAAAGCAACAGGCCAATAGATTTTGATATACACTACTTTACAGTGTTAACTAGCTCGATACGACCAATGAGAAGTGTTGGACCCACAAATCACACCGATACCCAGATGCCAAGATTCCAACATGACTACTTGATGCAAATAAAATAAGAAAGCCCAGGTAACAATTCACAAGTTATTGAAGAATACATAGTAAAATGGGTACCACAACGTATTCTAACAAATTGTGAACATTTAGAATATCATCAGACACCAAAACCTACAATTACAAATGGACTGCTGGAGGTTTCTTGATGTGCTTAAAGTAACTCACAGTAAAAATATGAAAAGGAAAGTCTCTGAACACTGCTATGCTATGCATGAAAATTCAAAGACACAAAAAATGAAAAACCTAATTGATATGGTTTTAGGTTGTGGTATCGTAATGCTACAATGGCCCTATCTTGATATCACAATCATCATTCAAATAACATGATTCCCTCGAAACTAACAGACTACTTATCTTTTGATAAGTAATTCCTAATAAAGTAGCTGATATGTGCATTTTAACGTTAATTTACCTTATTTCAAGTTTGGAATCATTCTTATCAACTTTTCTGATACCTCAAACACAAATTACTACAAACTAGTTTATAAAATTACTCTTAACCCATGACCCCTAGACCAACGAAAAAAAAGGAAGGTTTTTGTCTATGATTCGTGGATCAGGCACAACGTATCCAATACACCACTTTTCAAAAATAAAGATGTGGAAACACAGCCATAAATCTATGTATAATTATTTTATGCTTTGCCAATATCTTACTTTTAATCCCTGTGATATCCTGAAATCTTGCAATATTTGAGGTCAAAGGTGGCATTTCACTATTGTCACTTTAAAAAAAAAGATTTGGAAAGAATGCCAATAATGAGTGGTCATAATTGTAATCCAATATTTGCAAAGTTTAGAAGACACAAATGTGCAGGACAACGAAAAAAATTGACCACAACATAAATATGCGAATTCATATAATATGTCTTGGGTTTTCTAACACAATGAGAAAACCAAGACAGTGTGCCCTAAATTAGGCTCGGATTAGAACCAGGGCATAAAGAGGAGACAAAAGTCTAGATGAAGCAATCAAATATGGTCAAAACCTCAAATCACATTTAATGAAGTTATGGATATGCATTCCTGGTGCTCTCTCTCTTTTGGGGTGTGTGTGTGTGTGTGTAAATGTGTATCTCCATTCCTTTCCTTTCCTTCTTTCTTCTTCTTTGGGATCGAAATTATGCTTTGCTCTTTGTTTGGCTCCTACATCAAATTCCTCTTGTCCATATATTTCAAAATCCATACTTCATGAATGAGAAAAAATGAGAAAGCACTTGAGTAACTGATACCAATGAGAATGGTGAGTGTTTGCTGCTATATTCACAGCCTAACCACTGTGCAACAGATAAGGCATACCTCCAAATGCAGCGCTGGCCGCAGAAAACATTAGCAGTGGAGGAAGCTGCCGTTCAAAAAATCCAAATTTTAATGAGGTAACATAATAATGTAGAAGTTAACTAACATGTATATTATGCCACATAAAGATATATGAGGGCAGAAATTGTGAAAAAAGCTAGCAAAAAGAGTTAAGGGTTTAACTAAGTAAAAACCATACCCCAATAAGAAAAGGAAGCCACTTCGGTCCCTTCACATGTTTCTGAACATACGGGATTCCTAAAACCAATCCATGTTAAGCAATTTGTATAAGGGTACGCACTGCACACAAATATACGCACAAACAGACACATACAGAGAGAGAAAAGAGCAAAGAAACATAATTGTACCTGTATTGAAACCATGAATTGCACTAAGCATTCCACCAATCCCAGAGCCAGCCTATTCAATGAATCGTATAAGAACCAAAACAATTAAAGAAAAAATAACAATAAAAATGAAAATAGCAATCTGCAGAAATACAAATGTTACATTACAAAGCTCATAAAAAGTGTGTGAACTCAAACATTAAAGATCGACAGGGTTTTGGTTCGTATGCTAGCAGAGCAGAGGTAAGAAACTGCTCGAAAGGACTGAACAGAACATTACTGACCAGCATTCACGTCATAGTGTCGCGGAGACAGTTGAGCATCTTGATTATTTTAACCTCTTGTTTTCCATGTCGAATAACACAATGAAAAAGAGTGGAAAACAAAATGATGACCACAGCTGCATGAAACAAGCTGACCGGCCAGCACTGGAGCTTGTTCAAGTTCATTCATTCGTAAAATAAAACAAGCTCAAACCCACTTTTAGAGCTAGCTTAGTAATTAATCTGAGCTTGAACAATGTCTTGTTCAGCTCGTTAGACTCGTGAACAAATTGATCTTTTATACATACACACATGCACGCACATGGAAAATATAATCTTAGTACAACACCAAAACATAGTGACCCATACCAGAAACTGTTGAAGAAGTGCATGATTATTTAAAGTTTGGATTTCAATCTTCATTTGCTATTGTAGGAGCAATGGTGATGCCCACACATGTGATCCCAAATCGAAACTAAAGAAGAAAATAGAAACACTGGGACACTATATGAACAATGAATGCCTATCTCAGTTCACAGTTCCTGCAACGAATCCGACTCTGGCTGCATTTTTTATTTTTCCCGTAAAATTGTGGACAATGACTAGCTTGGCTCATTTTTTATAAAGAGGAGCTAAGCCGAGGCGAGCCCGAGTTAGGGGGGAAAACGATAAGATCTTGTATATAGTTTTTGAAACTCATCCCAATCCCAAAGTGATCCTAAACATTGCTTAAAATTGAATTGGCTGAGTTTTGAATAATGTAGTACTCGGCTCAATTCAGTTCTTTTGCATGAAAACAACCATATAGAAGATGTCAAGCATCTTCAAAAGCTCTACACTAGCATGGTCACTACCCATTAAAAACAATCAGATTCTCCAAAATCATGAAAGAAAAAGGCGAACATCAAGTATGTCATTCAACCAATATATTTGTATCCATGGCCAAACAGGGCAGAGAAAGCACTATTAAACAACAGTAATTACTAAACTGACAATTTTTTCCTTTTTTCTTCTCTTCTTTGTTTCTTTCTTTTTATTCTTTTTCTTTTTCCAAGTAGGGGAGGCCAAAATTGCAAAGACACTAAAATGAAACCCAGATAAGAGAGTCTTTAAACCCTACAATGAGGAAGCGTACACCTCCACAGCTCACAATTCTTCATCAATAAGAAATCCTCTTCCCAAATTCTGAGGAGTCTATTCTGACTTCAAAGCTATAAAAAAAAACAACATGAAATTATTCTTGCTTTCCATAGCCAGATTTGGCTTCATGATATAAGTAATTTTTTATCTCTTAACTTAGTAGTAATCTGTAATCGAAATGAAGCCGGCATTGTACTCATTTCTATCCCATCAAACATCATTATAAATACAATTAACTTTGACGGGAATCACATCAAACCATCATTATAAATACAAGTAACTTTAACGGGCATGTCCATATTGTACTCATTTGTATCCCAAAGCTAACAAACTTGCTTGAGCAACAAAATTTGTAAATTTATAAACGACTTTGAAAAGGGTCTCAAATCTATAACCAATTGCTGCGGACTAAATTACGAAAACACAATCACCTAAAACTAAAACCTCTACCACGCTCAAATTCATTTACAATTACCATACTAGTACCAAAGTGTCTGGGTGTGAGTGTGTGAAGAAGAGAAATAGTGAACGTACCACGGCGGTGGCGTCATGTAAGACTGAAGTAATAGTCCACTCCCCATTTTCCTGCTTCACCAGAAAAACAAAACGACATTCTAACAGTGAGTGCTCGCTCTTACAGACATATCATCGAACAAGTAATTGGCATCAAGAGTGCAAATACAGAGGGGTAATGAGAAAGTACCGAATTGGGGTTTAAGAGAGAGAGACAACGAGGGCATCGAGCTGAGCCGAGGCCAGGGTTGATGGTCGGGTCGTGGTCCAGATTTCCCGTCCGGAGCTTCTGTTCGTACACCTCTCTAGTCCCCATCTGTCGATAGTTTTGTCACTTTTGGGTTCTCTCCCTCTCTCGCCTCAACCTAAATCGAAGGCCCAAGCGGCATGCACAGGTAGGTTAGATACGTGATGTCATTGGTTAAAAATAAATTAATATATAAATAAGTAAATCTTACTTAATTTTATATTAGAAGAATTTAAAAATGATATAAATTTTGTGCATTGTACTGGATAACGATAGTAAATATTACCATTATTAATGAATTATTTTATTTTTCAATTGATATTATGTCGGGTTTGTGTTATTTTATGTTAAAAATAAAATAAAATCGACAAGTCTGGTGCTCCAGTTTGTGCTTTTATCAAAATGAAAAACTGCCTAAGAACGGCGGGTTTGAGGTAAGTCTGTCAATGAATTAAATTTTGATTTAAATTTGAATACTATTAATTTGATATGAATTAATATTTTTTACTAATAATTTGAATTCAAATTTGAATTCGATATTTTATATTCAATCCGAATTATTTATATTTTTATATAAAAATATTAAAAATTAATTGATTATTTGAAAAAATTTAGCTAATATTTGGGTATAATCTTTTTTCCCGGTAAAATATAGTTAATTAAGTTATTGAATCGGATCGGATTTTAGATTGTTAATGGATTTTAATATGGATTCCACAAAATATAATTCGTTGGACTTGGATCAACTTTTGAAATCAGATTCGGATTCAGATATTGATCCAAACTTGATCCATTGACCGGCTTAGCCTAGGCTCTAATTGGGCTGGATCAGCATTTCGGATTCTATTCTATGTTTGGGGTGGGGCCTATATATGGATTGGTCCAACCCAATGTGACTGGGGCCAACCGATTGTTCAAATTAGGTTAATTAACTTTTTACCCCTAAAGTTTGACATAATTTTCAATTTGGTCTTTAAACTTTTTTTTTTCTCCTGGGAACCCCATCCCTCGGGTTTTGCAGTTATTCCTACAGTCATTCTTATTCATAATTGTCACTTAAGTTCTTAAAATAAAATAGCATGCATGTGATGGATAATTAGGGACATTATTTTTAAAAATTAAAAATAAGAAATAATGTTTTTTGAGATCTAAAAACTTACCTAATTTTATTGATTTAACAATGCAACAATCGATAGATTTTCGATAAAAAAAAGTTCAATGATTACCATCACAATAAGACTGTTAGACCTTGATCAATTGGATGACTAATACTTGGAGATTTGATCAAGACCACCATCATTCCCATCACCATGACATAATTGTGAAACATATCATTTGTAATCAATCCAAACAGGGTATTGGCTAAGAGAATGTGCTTAATGATGTAACTCGTTTTCTTTCTATTTAATAAAAAGTTATAAGATTGACCAAAAAAACAATTGAAGTCAGTGCTTTGACTAAGGAATTTTTGGGTGGGCAATGTGTAAGACTTTCACCCCCAAAGTACAGGAAAAGAGGGATTTAGATAGTCAAGGGAGGTGGTTGAGTTATGTAATTAATGGGATTGCAAGCTAAGAAATTTGAAGTCCAATAGTATGAATTCTAGCTGGTGCTATAGGTAGTCAAATAGGACCACAGCCAGCATTTCTGCCCTCAAGCTGGCAGATTTTCTAGTTAAAACTAATGTTCAATTTTGAAGGATTTGGCTAATTCTAACGAATATCATGTTGCAAATGATGAAATACTATAATTAGTGCGTGTAAAAAGAAATTTTATATGATAAAAATGCTCGATTTTATTAAATTAGTGCCCAAACCTAAAGAATATGTGCAAACTTTGACCCCGTCACCTTTTTTTGGGATTGTTGCAGGTGGTTATTGTGGCCTCACTTTTATGATATGCTTGTTCACCTAATTCTGCATTTGAAAATTGTCAAACTCAAACAACATACAATCTTCAAAATTAATAATTTCCTTCTTAAAAAGAAATCCAGATCATTTGAAAGACCAAAGGAACTTCTAGTTCATGCCAACAAAGTAAATTTTTAGTGTTGGAAAAACATGAGATCACTTAGGTTGAAAATTATTCTATCTAGTGGAGTTGTAGTAATGAGTTATTTATGCACCACAAAAGCATGCTTTTATGTTTTTTTTTTATAAATGCAAAGGAACCAGAATTCTATAATCTATCCTTACTTTATCCTTCGATATTAATAATAGGGTTAATATCATTTTTACTCCTTAAAATATGTATTTTTTGTCAGTTTAATTTTTATTGTATTAATTATATTAATTTAGTCTTTATATAGACGAACCGTTAAATTTTTGAAAGAATAATCACGTCTTGAACACGTGATACTGTCTAAAAAAATAAGATGTGATTATTTTCGTAAAAAAAACTTGACAAATTGTCTAATTAGGGACCAAAGTGATAAAGATTACACACTTTAATAACTAAATTGATAAAAAATATATATTTTAAAGTCCAAAAACTAATAATATATGTAAAACATGCTTTTGACAGCCTGGAAAGTTTCTATAAATCAATGTCTCGACCCCATTCAGGGAGTCTTTCGAAAAAGGGAAGAATAAAGAAGACACAAAAGTCACAATCTCTCTCTCGATCGAATAAAGAAGACACAAAAGTCACTCTCCCCCCCTCTCTCTCTCTCTCTCTCGCGGACAACCCCAGACTTTTACTTGTCTTAATGGTAAACTAGCAATAATCCCTTATATGAAAATATTTTATAATATCAAAAATTAAATATTGATTGTACAATTTTATGTTTTAAATAATAATTTATTTTTTATTTTTTAATTAAATAATTAAAATGAATAGAGAAAAAATAAAGAGAGGCAAGTGAGAGAGAAGAGAGAGATTTGTGTGAGTTAATGAGATTATTTGATATTGTGAAATATGTTAGTTAATTATCTGACATTAGAAGTCTTCCAAGGAAGATGATGTTTTTTTAAGTAGAAAAAAAAATTAAAATAAATTTTGTACCATTAAATCAAAATAAATTTAAATAACATTGCTCAATCCTTAGATAGTCTACCGGAGACGATGACGATTTATAAGCTCAAACTTTTTGGGTCTGAAACCTCAATTCTCTCAAGGTGTGGGATTTACTATATGTCTGTCAATGGATTGATTTAGTTCAGATTTTGACTTATCCGAATTTAAATCCGACTTTGAAAGTTCGATCTAATAATTCGATAAATTTTATTTTCATAGTTTAAACAATTCAAAAATTCAATTTGACCAAAATAACTTAATATATCTAAATTTTGACCTTTTTTTCAAATAATTACTTTATTTATTTTATAATTTTATAAAAATGTTTCAATTTAAATCATCATAGAATCAAATATAAATATATTCAAATTTGAATACTTGAAATATAAATATCGAATTGAGATTCTTGTTGAGATAATTGATAAAAAGTATCATTTTATATTTGACTAATTGAATTCAAGTTTGAATCAAAATTAAATTCATTAACAAACCTAATGTATTATAATAAAAAAATATTAATCGTGGTGTACGAATATTCATTCGAAAACTCTTAATTTTGATAATAATAAAAAGAAATTAAAGAAGTACGAGAAACTACTAGAAATGGAGTATTGAGCTAAGCGATGCTCTTTTTGTGTTTTTCCATGAATCCTGGATGATTGCGGGAGGCAGAAATGATTGAAGCGATGTCCAATCAACCTGGGCCACACACTTCCTTTACTGTTTGGGTTGTGATATTAAAAATAATTTTTTAATATTATTTTTCATATTTTGTTTCAATAAAATTTTCACACAATCTTTTTTATTTTATTATTTTAAATTAAATAATAACATTTATACAAAATTTATTAATTTAATTTATTTCCCTAGTCAATCACATCCACTTAATTGCTAAAGAGTCCCAAAAAAGTTTTTGGACACATTTATCAATCAAATGATAGTCACTAATCAGATCAATAAATAAAAATTTAATTTATTAAATATTCAATAATTATAATTATGTCAGATTTTATATTTTAAATTAAAATTTATTTATTTTTTTAATAACATAATTTAAAATTAAAGTAAATAGAGAAACTAATAAGAGATAGATAGGAGAGAGAGAAAAAAAAAGAGATATGTATATATTAGAGGGAATTGTCTGATATTAGATAGTGTGTTGATTGTTGTTTAATATTGGAGGACGAATCAAAAATATGATTTTTTTTTTTTTTGGAGAAGGGGAGAGATTTTTTAGGTGAATTTGATATCATTAAATAAAAATTAAATTAATTTTTATCATTATTTTTATTCTATAAATTAAGATTTATCAACTTACTTAATCATTATTATTAATAAATTGACAATAAATTTCAATTAATAATGTAACAAATTATCATATTAATAATTATAAAAAATTACATCAAGAAATTAACTCAAAATAATATTATTATACCATTGTATTGAACAAAAGACAAGGAAAGGACAGAAGTGACCTAAGGTCTAACTTTCTAGGAAAGCAACACAAGAGGTCAATAATGGAAGACAAAAACATTGTATTCCACAATAGCATCCCCAGTCTTGATGTCAAACCAGTGAGTCTTCGCCTGAGCATAGCCCCGAGCAAACCGGAAAATCCCACTTCCTCCGACGATCGGCATTTCTCTCACCGAAGACAACGCGGTGTTCCGGCCCAATATGCTTAGACTACTTCCATTGTACTTACCTTCAACAAAAGCATAGTTGAGAACCATCAATAACCCAAGTTCCTCCAGCGCCGCCGATGCATAGATTCCTTGAGCTCTTCCGACGAGTTTGGAGCTTAAATTTGGACCGACAGTCAAGGGGTCGTCCATCATGACGATGGCGCCGAAGCCGGTGGCGGAGGTGTTTGTCATGGCGGCGGAGGCGATACGGACGGCGGTGGGGTTTCGGCCGCTGACTATGTCGTGGAAATAGAAGTGGAGGTGGCTTAGCTTCTCTTTCTTGAGGCCAAGTGATTTTGTAGACAGGTTTCTCGAGAAAGTTTGGGAATTTCCGGGAACAAGGACTGAGAGAACAAAGATGGTGAAAACACTCGCAGTCTTTTTGGAGATTGATTTGGTCATGGCGATGGTGGTGAAGAAAGGCTGTTCAGAGGGCTGTATGTGTGCGTGAGAGAGAGAGAGAGAGAGAGAGAGAGAGGAAAGCGATGGAGGACATCATGTGGTTTAAAGGTGTCTAATTTTATAGTGACAAATCCACCAATGGGTTTTGATTTTATTTTTATTTTATTTTTGATATTTTTAAGGGCTTTTGCACTTTATGCTGTGAAATTATTAGCTTTCGTCAAATGTCACCCTATTAATATTGACGAAAAAATTAACAAAAAATTAATAAAAATATCATATTACAATATTTTTAATATATTGATAGTACAATATGAAAATCCAATGCATGTGTCTCACCGATCTCCTTCTCCTATATGGAATGTGATAAAAAAATATAAATAAAAAAAAATCCTATATTTTATCAATCATTACTATCACACATGTGACTTATAATCACTTCTCAACTCCATCAAAAAATTATTTTAAGAAAAATTGCTAATATTAATTAATAATTTACTATAATTATGTAAGTGATGTTGCGTGTTCATGAAACTTTTATGTCGAATCTGTGTCATTTTCATGGTAAAAAAAATAGTTTTCATGTGTCATTAATTTTGATACCGTATGCAAATGAAGAATTCACAATATCGCATAATTTAATGTAAAATTAACTAAATGTTTCATTTAATGGTTGCGTCGCCTCTACTTCTTAATTAAACTTTTACTCAAATTTAAATTTAAATAAAAATAGACTAAAAATAAGTTCTACTCTTTCATTTAAAAATATATCAAACAAAGAAAAATTTAAATTTTTATTCAAATCTTTAATAATTGGATTTCACTTTTTTAAAAGATCTAATAATTATATTTTTAGCTTATTTTAGATTTGAATTTCCTTTACTTTAAATTTGAGTTTACTCTTCTTTAAATTTAATTTTTTTTTATTAAAATATCTTGTATCAAATTAATTTTTTTTACTCAAGTTTTAACTCATTTGAGTCAACATTAGAGATGTCCTCTAATGCGGCACCGGCCACGTAATTCCCACTCAATGTGAAGAGGACCACGTACATATTGGTCCAACCGGATGTTCAAATTAGAGTTAATTAACTTTTTGCCCCTAAAGTCCCGATAATTTCTAATTTGGTCTTTAATCTTTTTTTTCCCGCGTGAAATCCTTAATTGAAAATGTCACGAATGTTAATGATAATTCGGAAACACTAATTGGAAATAAAAAGTAAGTAATCATGATTTTTGTTCTTAATTTGTTAGTTGACTCCCCCTTATGTCCTTGCCATTTGCCTTTTCAATTGAGTCCCCAATCTTTCTACTATTTTCAATTCTACCTTTGAATTTTCGATTTAGCCAATTTTGTCACCTACCCATTGCTCATTGGCAATTCCTCTTTCCCTCTCTACACGCTCACAAGTAATTGGAGATCCAATCAAGATGACCGTCGTCCCCACCACGATCGCATAATTGTCACCATATTACAATTTAAGTCGGTGTTTTGACTAATTTGGGTCGGAAAAATGACTAAGACTTTCACCACAAATCCCAAATTGTCAATGGGATTACATGGTGAAAAATAAATAGTCCAATTCCGTGAACTCCAAACTGATGCCATAAGGTAAGTCGAGTTAGACCACTGTTTTTCAACTGTTTTGGCAAATATGTATTCTTCTCCAGTTAATAGGTTTGGAAAGTTTGTCCCATCACTTGCATTTATCTATTATTTTTATGCTCACAGACAAATTTATTTTATAATATACTTTCACGATGGGGGTAAAGATTTATCAACAAGGGGCTTATTTGGAGTTAGCTTAAACATGCAATTTTTAGAGGTTTTAGGGTAAAATAAATCATATCCGTTTGGATTTTGACTTTTTTACTAGTTTATGCAGCAATTTTTTGGATCCAAAAAGACTTAATTAAGTTGATTTAAAAAAATTAATTTTATGAGCTTTTCTTCTAATGTTTTGGAGTTTTATAACAGATTTCACATATTTTTTTAGTTTATTATATTCCAAAAATATTATTAATGATGTAAAAATATTTAAAATTTATTTTTTGAGAACTATTATGCATAATTTATAGATGCATGTAATTATTATTTTTTATTTAGACACAAAAAAATCAAAAAAGCTAAAAAGTCACTCTACAGAGAGTTTTTCAACTTTTTTGGCTTTTTAAAGAACTCCAAAAAGTTTTGGGAATTTTCTTATCTAAGATATTTTTTTACGAAAAATATAAAATCGCAACTTTTCACCTGAAAAAGTGAACTACAAACATGTCCATTGCACCTCAATTAATCTTCTCCGTATTCCAATCAAAGACAGATCATTCACGCTAGGATTAGGATATTCATAAAAAATAAATCTCTCGTGACTTGACCCAAAAGAATTGCTAAAATTTAAACTCAATCACTTATTGATTTACTACTCTATCAAAGTCCACAGCAAGATTCAATCTGCACACAATAGCGGACTAGACAACGCCCAAAGAGAGTCAAGAGAGAACATGAATGAAAAAACATAAGGGATATGACACTAAAAAGAGGTATGAGACAACACCTACCTCTTCTTTTGCAAAAGTTGTTCTATCGATCTCCCTTTGAAATGTCGCCTGTGGTCGTTGGCGATCGCCTCACTTTAATGAGACTATCCCATTCATGGTATGTTCATTTCACTTAATTCTTGATTTGAAGGTTCCTAATTCAAGGGCAAATAATCTTCAAAGTTGACTATTTTCTTATTTAGGAGATGTCTAGAACATTGAAAAACCAAATAAGTTAGTTCATGTCGATATAAATAACTTAATAAACACAACACATACTAATTAATTTTCTACCCATTGGGAAGCATGAGAGATCACCGATGTTGAAAATTAAACCACTTATTGCGGGTTTCAGAAGTGAGTAATGAATCTCAATGGGTAATTCAAATAATAATAGAGACAAGTTGTAAACTCAGAAGTCTTAAGTTTGAATCTTGACAACTCTTTAGGCTTAAGTCACGAGAGATTTATTCCTCATGAATACTCTAATTCGACGTAATCTGCACCTAAACTGATTGAACATCCTTAACCGTTGAACTGAAAAATAAAAAATAGTGAATAATGCACCACTCTATAGGCAAATATTGAGAGGAACGATTTTGTTAGGTCAGCATTGTTACGTGGTGTAATCGTTTAATGATAACTCAATAATTAGGCAAAAAGTGGGGTTCACTTACTCGCTTGTTTGTTTGTTATCGAACAATTATACTACGTGACAACGCTAACTTGATATAATCGTTATAGACAATATTTATCCCATTCTTCATGCAGTATGTGTCGATATATCAAAGAACAAAAATCAAATACCGTTTTTTTTGCAATATTGATATTTTTGTCTTTTCTTTGTCTGAATTTAATTTATTTCCCTGAGATTAATCAGGTGTATAATGGTGTACACATCATGTAGTCCATCTCAAAAATATTAAGACAAGTCTTAATTGTTAAGTTGAGTCGAGTTGACAAAGATGCATAGAAAATACTTTTATAAAATAGTAATTAAAATATGCATTTTGTTTTTTGATGAAATTATTTTTTTACATAAAAAAGTTAGAAAATTGTATACCATTGAATCTTCGCAGACTTTAATATCTTCCATTATTAGCGAAACGCCAAATAGTCCATACACCGACTAGAGTCCCCACTCTTCAGCAACACGCATGCATTTGTCATTGGCCGGGTGTCTAAAGGGTCTATAGAATACAATTCTCTTCGATTTTGAGTCCTTTTAGAAGACAGGGGGAGAAACAGTACAAAGGATATGCTCTATAGAAGAATCGCTCGGAGCAGTTCGATTACTTTCACTTAGATCGCTTGGGATTGGTTGAAGGGTAGTGCCAAATAAAATACTTTTGATCAGTCAACATAATAGATATTTTTTTATTGTCATAATATTTTTATTTTTTTTTGGTCATAATAAAGTAATAAAAAATAAGGCACATCAATAAATAATTTTTTTAAGGCTAACTCAACAAAACGGGTACAAATGCACTAGCTGAGCTATGCAATATGCAATGCTTTTGTGTTTTTTTCCCTCAATTTGTCAATATGATTACAAGAGGAATAGTGCCATGATCAAATTATATTGAAACAATGCCTACCCAACTTGAGACACGCTCCTCCTTTTCCTTTTTTTTTTTTTTAATAGTCGAAATATTTGAGTTTGATGTAGACTTGACTCGTTTTGAACTCAGTTCAGGTTCGATTCATTTAAAAAATTTTAAAAAAATCGAGTTTAAACAACTTTTTAAACTTGTTTTCAAAAATAAGTTCTACAAATTTAACTCGAATTCATGTTATTGACCTTACTTCAATCATATGAAAGCCGTTAAGGTATTTCATTATGCCTTTTAGTGAGTACTGTTTTGGTTTGTACATGTGGTATTTATTGAAATCACAAACACTTGCTTACCCATGCTTATTGTTGGAGATTCGATGTTCTTTTGCCTTTTCCATTTGTTTTCGAAAAGGGATGAGGTACATTGTATTGTGTACATGTAGAGGTTGGATAAAAACTTTCTACTTTTAACTCAGTATTAGAGTAACGTTATGGTAAAGTGTAAGTCATCGGTTCAAATTCAATAAAAGAAATTGATTTTTTTTTCATTTTTGCTTTTGGAATATTCCAATCTAGCTGATGGATCCTTGGCTCCATGCGCGCCAATCGAGCCTGACATTTCAGATGAAAATCACCGAGAAAAAGAATGGCTACGAAAGTAAATTCGTAAAGCCCTTCTTCCATTACTAAAGATGTTATGTCAGCATTATTATAAAAGAATGGACTTTTGCGACAAGCATCCTAATACCATTCTCGTTTAAATCACATTTAGTTTCCAAATTATGATGGAATACGGTGTTAACTAGTTTTTCTTTCGAACTTCTCTAAAACATGATATTTTAAGTTTTGAATGATGTATATGAATTTAGACTAGGATTTTTAATCTTAGTGATGTGTTCAATTGGCGTAAACTAGGGAAAAAACCAGATGACCGATTTATATAAACCACGGCCATCTTAAAGGAGGATTTCATGACACCATTAGAGCACTCTGGCTTTTTTGACACACTTGAGAACTGCAGGAGATTTTAAATTGTTTGTTCAACAGTGAAGAGTATTCAGATCAAATTACTTATATCTCGATTAATTTTCTCTACGATCCAGTTAAAGATAAGTTATCCACACTGGAACTAAAGTACTTATAAGAGAAAATTCACTCATAACCTAACTCTAAGGAGTTATCAAAACTCTATCTCATGACATCTGAATTTACTGTTCGTCTATATTGTTATTTAAGTTATCTTGAAGTTTGAGAGATTTTAATATAAAATTTTGTTGGCTTCCATCGAGAGAAAAAGGTGAACACATTCCCATTATTAGACCCTCACTATAATTTTTTTGTTTTTTTTTTTTTTTGATGTTTTTATATTAACTATCGATTTGAATTCGAATCTAATTTTAAAAATTTAATGCAATATCTGATAGATATTATTTTCACAACCTATATCCAAATTGTTTAAATCAAAAATTCGATTTGATTCAAATAATCCACTTTCATCATACATTTATATGTGTTAAATATAATTACATTAAATTCATATTAAATCACCATTAAATTAAATATTGATATATTTTTATATCCAAATATATAACAATTTAAATTCGAATTCCATATCTATCTATCAATAAAAGTACTTTAAGATGAAAAACTTTTAAATCTCTATTTTACCCTTATAAAAGATTATAAAGACCATTTTATCATTTCACTCTATCCTTCTGTATTCAAATCTCTAAATTATCTATAAAATTATTTATTCTCTATATATAAATATAAATTTTTATAAAAATTTTGATTGACTATATTACCCTAAAAAAATATGCATCATTATATTTTATAATTTTTTAAAATCAATTTATGTTCCATCATTATAATTTTTCAGTCACAATAAACTTTTCAAATTGTACTAAGATTTTATGTAAAAATATATGTTATAGTGTATTTTTAAGTAAAACTTGAATTTTTTAAAATTTTAATATGCATGATAATATATATTATAGAGTATTAACAATTACTTTTATTTTATTCAATGAATTATAAGCGGAATCATAATAAAATAAATTTTTAAAAATTTAATTTCTCAAACATACTAAAAAATTAATTTCAATCACAAAATTATAAAAAAATAGAACTTTAACTATTTTTTTTTTAAGCTTTTCTTTTATAGTTAGAAAATTTTGGGAATATACAAAGTTTTTACAATCTTATAATAGAATATGAGCAATAAAAAATTAAGTTTGATAAAATTGAGATGATATTTAATTCAAATATATATATAACTAATATATTTTATTAATTTATATATATAAAAATTATTCTCGTATAACGCACATAATGCATTGTTCGTACAAATAAAAATTTATTTCCTACGTATAGGATTGAATTAAAAATAAAATAAGAATCAAAATCAAATCCATTAATACACTAAAGCAAATGCTTGACGAAGTAAATATTATTACAGTAGAGACTGTAGAGTCATACATATAACAGAATAAAAAGCAACAACAAAAGTGAGCGAAGATCTCTAGGAAAGCAACAAAAGAGGTCAATAATGCAACACATACACATTGTATTCCACAACAGCATCCCCACTTCTGACGTCAAACCACACAGTCTTCGCCTGGGCATAGCCCCGGGCAAACCGGAAAAGCCCACTTCCTCCGACGATCGGCATTTCTCTCACCGGCGAAAGCACGGTGTTCCGACCCAGTATGCTCAGGGTGCTTCCGTTATATTTGCCTTCAAAAAAAGCATAGTTGAGAACCATCAATAAACCCACTTCTTCCAACGCCGCCGATGCGTAGATTCCTTGAGCTCTTCCTACGAGTTTGGAGCTTAAATTTGGACCGGCGGTCAAGGGGTCGTCTATCATGGCCACGAAGCCGAACCCTGTGGCGGAAGTGTTTGTCATGTTTGCGGAGGCGACACGGACGGCGGTGGGGTTTCGGCCGCTGACTATGTCGTGGAAGTAGAAGTGGAGGTGGCTTAGCTTCTCTCGCTTGAGGCCGAGTGATTTTCTGGGCAAGTTTCTAGAGAATGTTTGAGAGTTTCCGGGAAAAAGGAGGGAGAGAAAGAAAGTGATGAATATAATGGCAGTCATCTTGGAGAGGGATTTGGCCATGGTGAGGAAGGTTAAAGGTATGGTGGTGTGTGTGCGTGTGGGGAGAGAGAGAGAGATGGAGGACTTCGAAGGGTTCAGATGTGTCTAGCTTTATATAGAACAAATTGTTACTGGGTTTGGGGTTTTAGGTGTGTCTATGTATTTTGGTCGCACATGATTCTATTATAATTATACTCATTAAGGATTTTCGAATGTACGTTTAGGATTGCACCACCTAAAAACATATTAGTAATTTAGCATCTTCAACAAAACATGTAAAATCTTAAAATAATAAAAATTTAGCTAATTAAAAACAAAAATAATATTCCATAAATAGCTTTTTATTACAAATGATGTTCTAAATATAGAGTATCATTGTATCAACTTATATAAATATTTTATAATTTGTTCTCTATCCTCTTGTCATTTGCTATCTCCATGTGAGTCTTTTTCTCCATTTTCTCTTTCTCTCTCTCTTTTCAACAATTCCAACAATAGTAAAAAAATTTGTTAAATAATATTTTAAAAAAATAATTAAAATATATTTTTAATAGCTAAAATATAAAACTTTGTTAGAGATATTCTTAGGGATCAAATAGACACAATTAGAAGATTATGAACCAAATAAACACTAAACGCATATTTTTAAAGACTAAAAATATATTTTACTCAAAATCTAATTTAAAGAGCTAATCACAATGTATTAAGGCCCCAATTAGATAGAAAAATCATTTTTTTTTCTTTTATTTTCTTTCGTGATACATCAATAGTTAAGTATTAGTGAGAATATATTTATAAACAATAAATTTTACTTGAATTCATATATTATGACTTACTAATACAATAAATATAAAAATGTAATAAAGAAGATGCTACCTAAAGATTCCGTACTACGGTATGGACCATGGACTATGGAAGAATTGTTGAATTGAAGGCTACAATATTAAAGTTTGCAAAAGGCCTCATAAAGTCACCTACCAGTGCATGGAATTTTTGTGCAAAGTAGGTCAAATTGTAATGAGGTTTTTTGTGCAAATTCATCTACAAGTTCTTTTCTTTTTTATTCAACTCTCAAGGTGTTCAGGTCAATTTATATGTATTTTAATTAATTTTTTTTTGATTTGGTTAAAGGCAGATCATCCACGCAAGAATTAGGGTATTCATAAGGGATAAATCCATAATAATCTAACCCCAAAGAGTTGTCAAAATTCTAATTCAAGACGTCTGAATTTATAACTTATCTCTATTGCTACTTGAACTATCCTTAGAGTTATTCACCTACTAGTTCAGTAGGAGGAGATTGATGTTTATACATTGGTAAAAATAAGTAGGATATCAGACATTAGAAAGCAGATTCAAGTTTATTATCAATCACGTAAGATATCATCTGATAATGCTTCTAAATCATATTTTTACTTTTTTTTTTTTTTGTGTTTTTTAAGTTACGTTTCTTTTGTACATAAAAGAGTAGTATTTCTACCCTAAAACTTATATAAATTACTTTTGTTAAATAAAAATCAAACATGTTTTTAGCTTCTAAAAGAGGGATGACTAATTGTAAAAAAAAAAAAAAAACTCCAAAATTGTTTCTAGCTAAAGAAATTCATACTCTATCATAAGCTTACTCCTACTCATAAACAGTTGTTGAATGTTCAAACTTCATTACCCCCACCACCACCACCACGCCCCCCCACCCCACACAAAAAGAAAAAAAAGAAGTGTATTAGTTTTTGTAACTATTGGCGTGAATTGCAAGGAGAATTCGAAATTCTTTGTCATCACAGTGAAGGAAGCTTTTTGTCTGTAAAATTGTGAGACACGCAAAGACGGTGCACTTTTACTAAAGGGAACTCAACTAATGATATGGAAGACGCACATTGCTAAGACATGAGAGGGTGTCTTTATAGTTACATTAAAATCTCAAGGAGTTTCATGAAAAATTATAGTCGTTTCCTCCCAACAAGCGGCAGGGTCCCTCTGGACTAAGGCGGATCGTGTACTCAAGCGTAATGGAGCAAACAAACATCAACTTAAGGCTTAAACCTTATTTGTCAAAAAAAAAAAAAAGGCTTAAACCTTGATACTTTTCGATTGATTCAAATTTCTTTTAATAAATTTCCTCTTTATTAATAAGTGAAAGACTTATTTGTATATAACGGATCTCATGTGAACGCATGAAGGTGATCCAACAAAATTTTTATTTTAAAAAAAAATGCATTTACATCAATAAATTAAATTAAAGTATCATTACTTATTCTGAACTCTGGACCACATTTAAAATTGAGATTTGGCCAATCGAGGAAAAAAATTCACTTCCCACTTCAAAAGGGGAAAAAAAAATAGACTTGTCCATTTCAAAATATTTAGACGTTGTTTTGTTATATATCGAGGAAGTGGTTTTTGAGCATCTTGAAACGTAGAGAGAAAGAATCTCATTGCTAATAATCAATAATTTAAATTAAGGTAACATTACTCAGTTTGAACTCTGAACCACAATTAAAATTGAGATTTGGCAAATCGGAGAAAAAATTCACTTACCCACCACCTCACATCGAAAAAGGGAGAAAAATAGACTTGCCCACTTAAAAATATTTAAACTTTTTGTTATATATTTAGTAAGGGGTTTGTGGGCGTAGAGAGAAGAACTTCAATCCTAATCTAACGATGATAATATTTAGATAAATAAATTAAATTAAATTAAAATATCATTACTTATTTTGAACTCTGAACCACAATTATGATTGAGATTTTGTCAATCCGGGAAAAAAAATTCACTTACCCACTTCACATCAAAGAAGGGGGCAAAAAAAAAAAAAAAACTTGTGGAAATTCTGGGTGAATCATGGCCGTTCAATTAAGACTTATGGAAGACGGTGCCGTGTAGAAACTGTAAAGCAGGGGAGGACGATGTACACGTTAAAGTTTGGAGTTTTAAGGCGACCAAATGAGTTTAGGGCAGTTAACTTTTGAAGCTTTGTGCCCAAAATGATAAAAAAAAAAAAAAAGTGCTTAGAATGGTTCCCATGATTTTCTCGGGGGTATTTTTTTTTTATTTAACAATTAGAGGTATTCGAATTTATTTATCTGTAACTCAATTAATTTCTTCATTGGTCATGTCAAATATAGATCATCCATGCCGGAACTAAAACTCCTGACATATGTGTTTTGCCTAACCTTTTAAATGGATACCTTTTATTGCCTTTGATCACATAGCTATCAAGTTATGTTGATACGAAAAATTCATTGCAATTATAGATCAATATTAATTTCATTGGATTTCTTTTAATGATGGAATTTTTAAGCCAATTAACTCGACTCAGACATAACAAGACCGAGTCAGAGAGTGTTAGGCTAGAAGAATGATCGAACTTAATTACATAAATAATTATGTTGCATCGACTAATAGAACTTTTAGATGATGCAAACGAGGAAAATTCTATTTCTACCTACTAAGAAGACTGTCCAAGGGGCACATGCAAAGAATATCACATGAAATCCGCCATTCGAGATTTTTTTTTTTTGACATCTACTATTTAGTCATCAAGCAAATGTTGTGTAAAGGGATGAATTAATACAGCGTCATCAATGGGATGTGATTCGGGCCTAGTGAAGAATTAGTCTTCCCTAAGCCTTAAGAGGTACACATTGCTGATTTAAGCATAGGAGTGTTTTAGGTTGGCATTATACTTTTGCTCTTAACCTGTTGGGTATTGTATGTGTGAAAATCTTATATCGGATGGAAAAATAAGTTAAACTTCAAAGTGTCATAATATACTGTTGATGAGTTTACTGCCTATAGACTTAAACTTTTATTTGGATATGTGTTCCAGATATGTTATATTGGGACTTCTTTGATTATTGGACTCCCAAGTCTCCCAATAAATGATATTAGAGTTGATAATTGACGATCTTAAGTGAACTTTTGCATAAAATGGTGTACTGTGTTATCGAAAAAAAGAGCAGGGCACCGCATGAGCGCAAGGGCCCTTGGTAGAGTGGTAATGCATGGTTCATACTTGAGAGGGAGATTGTAGGGCATTATATGTGTAAGAATCCTACATCGAATAAGAATTGGTCGGATTTGTATCCTGTGTATCTCCTCTGATGTCTAATTTAGTCGGCGCCCAAGTGAAAGGATACGAGTGTTATAGTATAAGTTGAGTTTTATGTACCTGAAATTCAACCGGGGGCAGCCCAATAGACAGGCCATCAAAGCAGCAGCTTAGGGCCTTAAAAAAAAAAAAGAAGGGTGCCAAATTACATTTATGGACTTCACCAATTACTTGGGCCTAACAAAAAGTTTTCTATACAAAAGATGCAATCATATATAAATTTTTTTAAAAAGTCCAAACAAAATCAAGAGGCCCAACAAACTCTTCTTTCTCTCTCAAACGGTAAAATCACTAAAAAACAATTAAGGCCTACAATTTTCCTTCCCTCTCACACATTAATGGCAACCAACTAGTCCACGTTGGGCTCATTTGGTTGCCGTAGTAGAAATGAATAAATTATATAAAATAATTCACTCTAATATAATACAATAGGATAAAAGATAAAATTAAATAGGGTATTAGAATAATATGTAATTTTATCTAGTATTTGACAATACAAAACATAAATATTGGATAGTAGTTATTTAATCCAATCGGTTGTTTGATTAGAGAATTATTTCATCGTATTAATGTTGAATTAACAAAAATACCCTTAATCAATATTTGTTACATTGATGATAACTTGATTTTATTTGTTGGAAAGTTATAATAGTAACTGTATAGAATAATACGTTTGAGTTAGATTATAATACCACCTCTCTTGATGGTATTCAAATACTTTCATAATACAAGTCTATCGTATAAAAAATGTACGATAAGTATACGTTTTTAAAATTAATACAGTATCAAATTTGATTACCAAACAAAGTATTAGACCTGATTAAATAAAAAATAGTATAATCAAATATTTAATATCCTCATAATACGTTTACCAAGCGAACCCATTATGTAAAAAGTATTATACACTTGGTCACCCATACCACTAAAAAAACTAAGTCTTTCTCATGAGCCCTATATACATATACAAATATCCATAAATTACTTTTTATATTTTTTACTAATATGATTAATCTAATTCAACTATTTTTTTTAGAAAGTATAATTTATTAGATAATTTAAAAAATGAATAAATAATCAATTTATACAATTTTTATTTATCAGGTACTACTGTTCAATTTGTATGAAACTTTCTCCTAATATCACCATTTATTATTTTAACAGTTTGTTTTGCTTACAAGATTTTTTGGTCTTCAATATGTAAACTAAAAAATATGAATCTAGATATTAAAAGCATAAAACTTGAAATCGATATACTAACAAAGTGTGAATATAAAAAATTAATCACTAATTTTGCATCACAAAAAAGTGAGAATAACAAATTTTAAATGAAATTTAGTAGTATGTTAAAAATATATTTATAATAAAATATTAAAATGCTCCATTTATAATTTTTGCTTAGGGCCTCGTCTTTTGTCGAGCTGACCCTGGATCCAACCCGACCCGTGAGTGATTTATACCTTGAGAGGGGATGACGTGGAGTCCAGTGGGATAGCTACTCCCGCCACTTGAGTTGCGCATTTATAATTATTAGAACTAGGAAAGGTAAACGATTGGTTCAGGTCAAACGTCGAACAATAACTTTACTCAAGAGACCAAACATTTATTGAACATTATTCAAAAATTCAATGACATCTATAAGATATTTAATGAGTTGCGTCGAACATTTAAGTGATGGATACCAAACAGTGACTAACGCATCCCGGGCCCCCTCCCCGACCGGTCCATGTAAAGAAAGGTCATGCATGCATGTGCAGGATTCAGTGAAGGTGCTCACATGAACGTGACGGTGGCTATTTTGTCATGTCAGTGAGCCCTCATGTTGGATCATCATTATTGTTTGGGCAACGTAATTGGGGTCCTTCAAGTAGTCCCAAGGGACTTCGAGGGGGCTTGGTCTGAATGGCCTGTCTCGACCTAGTTTGCCCAAAGAAATTGAATACTTTCGGTTGGACCCATCCCAATCCACATGTTCTTCAGTGATAAGCGTGCCGATTATCCAACAATTTTCTCAAGAGGTGAAAACAATATGGTTATATGAAGGTTTTTGATCTAAGAGCATTCAGCTCAAATAATGTCGCAATAGAAACAAAACAAAGCCATTACATATTCAAAAAGGCCATAAGTGGCCTTATCATATCTTTTCTCATACATAAACAATGCAATAATGCCAATTGGAAATATAGTGGCCAAATTTATTGAAAAAGTTTACTATTTTGGTTAGATTAACATGATTTCAATATTACATGAAGTCTATTTTCAATCTAAACAATGCTCGTTGGATGGTCAGGAAATTTGGTTCACATAAGATTGCTATAAGCAAAGAACAATTGGTGTCCTCTCATCCATAACAAGAATCGGTAACGGAGGTGTGAGGGAGGACTAATTCTCTTTTAATAGGATGAGCTATAGATTTCGACAGGGAGAATAGACTGCTTAAAATTGGTAAATGATTCGAGCTGTTCAGATTCGTCTGGTTTTAAATTCAACTCGAGCTTGTTTATTTAAAAAACAAGTCGAACTCGCACAATTTTTTAAACTCATTTTTTAGCTTGGCTTGAATTCATAAAGTTCGTCTCGTTTATATGTAACTTAATCGAGCTATTTGGACTCAGCATAATTTCAGCTTGTTTTGAGCTCCCTCTGGCTCCTTTTTTTGAAAAAATCAGTCGACCTTGAATACTTTATTAGGCCAGCTCGAACTCATTTGTGCGGCTCGTTTATCACCCCTATCTGCATACTTATATATTGTGTTTGTGGGCCTCCAGTGGGCCTTGAATTGGCCCAGGTTCTAAACTAAACTCGGCTTGGTCCATCCCAACCCGCTTTGTGCAAAGAGCAAACCAAATCATAGCCTTTCATTTAAAGCTGTAAGTTGCAGACTCTAGGGTTTTATCCCCTTGCCACATCCAGCGAATAGCGAGGCCGCCGGAGAGAGAAAGGGAATCGAGCAAAGATGCCGGCGGGACACGGAGTGAGGGCACGCACACGTGATCTGTTCTCGCGTGGGTTCAGGAAGAAGGGAACAATCCCTCTCTCGACGTACCTGAAGATCTACCGAGTCGGCGACTACGTCGACGTCAAGGTGAACGGCGCTGTCCACAAGGGTATGCCCCACAAGTTCTACCATGGCCGCACTGGTCGTGTCTGGAACGTCACCAAGCGCGCCATAGGCGTCGAAGTCAACAAGCAGGTCAATTTTCACATCTCTCTCCCTCTCTCTATCCCTCTCTTGCTCTGTGTGATGTATGTGGGATTTATGGATTTCTAGTGAACGTTGTAGATGATTACAAGCTGTTTGATGTTTTGTTTGTGATGAAATGTGATGCGTTGGTGGGTTTTTGCTGCGTCTGATTTGTTTTTGATGACTCATTTGAGCTTATAAAACCTCTTTCCATCACCGTGGTCTTGATTGCGTGTATTGTGTATTGATCTTCTTTGTTTATTATGCATCTCTGGAGGAAGAATTGGAGTTGCCGATTTTTAGTGTTCAGTTTAACTCTGTCCAACGATTATATAGTCTAGATCTTTGCAGTACTGTTTGAAGATTAATCAGAAAAGAACTATAAACTTCATTTTTACACTGATATAGGATTTGAGTGGGTTGTGCCATAGATAAATATGAATGCTAGAACCTTTAATCAATAGATTTTTGCTGCTTGGATTATGATACTTGTTTCAATGGCATTTGTTTCATACTTGTGAAACTTAATTCAGAATGATGTTGGAACCAAGCCCATTGAAAACTGTGAGCCATAAGGTACCTCCCTAAAACTGCCACTACAATGAATCAAGCTAAATGAAGCCAAAATGTCTTGACAATGGTGACCCTTTTTGGCTTCTACACTAACTTTTAACAATTTATTGCTTAAAGTTAATTGGAAGACATTACGATTGGGCATTTGTACCCGACTCTCATAGACTAAAATTAACAGATATGGTCAATCAAGAGCCTTTCCACACTTGAGCAGAGGTGGCACAAACTCAATTAGAAATTGTGGCAGTTATGATGTTGAGGTCTGGGTTGGGTGCAAGGACATGGCATTGAGGTCCATTATCCTCGATTCTTCATGGTTATTTGGCAGTGGAAGTGTTGACTTCATAGTTCTAACCTATTTGGTAGCTCGAACTCTATGGCCCTCTTGCGCTTTTAGCTGCCTTAAAGCTTCTTCTTTTTTTTTTTTTGCTGCTGAATTAGCTTGCACTGCTTTACTGGCTCTTCTTATAATTGGATTCTTGTCTCTTTGTTTCATTGTTTCATGTAGCTTGTAGTGGTGAAGAATGTATACATTGTGCTGTCTATTGTTTGGTGTGCATGACACTTGCTGGGATGAAACGATTGCCTGATACTTTCTGAAACAATGAATTCCTACTTTAACTATATGATTGAATTGTGTCTTTGTGATATTTCATCTGGTGGTTTGACATGATCATATATTCTGTGGTGCATGTATATGAATCCAGGTTGGAAACAGGATCATCAAGAAGAGGATCCATGTTCGTGTGGAACATGTTCAGCCATCCAGGTGCACCGAGGAATTTAAGCTGAGGAAAAAGAAAAATGATGAGTTGAAGGCAGGGGCTAAAGCTAGAGGTGAAGTAGTTAGCACAAAGAGGGTGCCAGAAGGGCCTAAACCCGGGTTCATGGTTGAAGGCGCATGCTTGGAAACCGTAACACCCATCCCATATGATGTTGTCAATGATCTCAAGGGTGGTTATTGAGTCCCTCTGTTTTGGATTTGGTTTTGATTGCTTTATGTGCTTTGATCATCTGAAGACATTTTTCTTCATCTGATTTGGACCTTTCTATAGATGTTTGTTTTACAATTAGTATGGTAACTTAATTTATCGAAATTTTGCATCAAATGAAAGTAGGGACTCGGATATAAGATTGTCATTTATGTTTATACCATCTTATTTTTTAAAGCTATAGTAGAAGAGTTACAGAGAGTCGAGTTTTGTCCGCGGCAAAAAAAGAGAGAAGTTTTGGAGCTACTGCTATTTGGTCTATTGGGTATATTTTTAAAGATAATACAAGTAGGGGTGTTAAAATATGATACGATTCATTAAAACGATGCGAAATTAGATGATTTAGGTTTTTTTTAAGTTACTCGTTTATATTATAAATAAGTGAATTAGATACAATAGACACAATTAATAAAAGACATGGATATAATATAATACAATTCGTTGGACACGAATTAATAAACGAATGGAGTATGAATGGAATGTTCTGTCATGAATCGACTATTACTTGACACAAATTAGTTTTATTCGATACAACTGACAGACTTAGTTATAACGTGTGTCCAAATACAGCTTTGGCATCTTAGAGGTTGTGTTGTGCTATGATTTAATATTGTTTTGTGTAGATATATGGCAATGGTGTATTTCAGTTGTGGAAAATTTTTGATTTTGCTTTATTTTATTTTATTTTTTTAAATTTTTTGTTTCTCAAATCGAGTATCCTGCTACAAATGGAACATCTAAAATTTCTGTTTTCCAACTATTTGCCCCCACGCTCTATAATGGTACAAATTTAGATCCACTTTTGTTCAAATTTCTATAATACTAAATAACCTACCAAGAAGCCAAGTAGGATTCATCGTAGTCAAGTAGATTTATCACGAGTATTGGTGCATAATATAATCAAGTTCTTAACCATTGGAACCTCTCAAAGCTATTTTCAATGGAATTTGTGTTAGATTAATACCAAATCTGGCTTGAAATCAAACACAAAAACCCTAACCAAGCAAAATTCTAATGAAAATAACAGTTCAACATTTCGACTCAATCATCAACTGATTTGCCATCTATTGACGTTGACAAAGTAAATAACATTGCTAAAATAGACACAAAGCCCATAAGGATGGAGCTAAATCAACTAGCATGGAATGAGATAGACACAACTGGTTGGACCAAAGCCATAACCTGCACAAACTCCATTGCCCTTATATTTTTCATAACACTCTTGACCACAGCCTGCAAGGGCGCAGCCATTGGAGTGCAGCAATTTTGGGCATCTTTTTATGTTGGCTGCTTGGCCCACAATCAACATAGTTGCAAAAAAACAATTCAAATTTAGAGACATAAAATATCAGGAAAATAAAACAAAAAAACAAGTAAAATATATTGTGCTCCCTTAATTTTTGTTTTTAAAATTTAACTTATCTTTGAATTGTTATTGATGATGCACAAAATGGTTTTCCATACCACCTGTTAAATATGAATAATAAATGTAAGAATAAAGTAAGGAGATGAAGATACACAAGCAATTTATAGTGGTTCGGTCAACGTGACCTACGTCCACTCTTAAATGACTCTGGTCGTCAGGTACTTTATTAGTTTAAGGATGTGGGGAGCAGAGAGTACAAGCTTTGAGGGAGAAGAGAGAGTCGTGCTCAGATAAAGTGTGATCCTGCCCCCCAAGTGTTAGTGGGGCTTATAATTTATAGTCGCCCTCCTAATAGATTTGGGCGAAGTATTAGCAACTACATAATTATTTTGGTGGAGCTCACGACTTCTCCTCAACGGGCTAGGCAGTTGCGGTGCTCTCCATGAGATTTGGTCAAATGATGACGTGGGTGTTGATTCCTTTAAAGGGAAAGAGGATAAAGCTCTTGGATGACCCTGCATGCTCCAAGGTGGTAGAAGAGAAAGGTTGGGTACCTGATGTGGAGACCTGGGCGTCTGCGGAGGAGAGTTGGGCGCCTGCAGAGGAGACCTGAGCGCCTGCAAAGAAGACCTGGGCGCTTGTGGATGGCCTTGCATGCTGCTCTACTAATGTAACTTGTGGAACCTGATGAACTTGACCGAGTGCAAACTCCTTTGGGCTTGACTAGCTGGATCTCTTAGAGTTGGGCCATTAGACTTATAACATGAGTTGGGTTTGACTCATCATTTGTCCCCCCAATGCCCTATGTTCAATGAAACTTGGAAAGAAGGACATTTGATTAAGTTCAAATTTTTGGCTGACCGACACAACTGAAAAAACTTTGAGAGACCAAAACATTTGCTTCTAAGCCTTTTTTGGACTTTTTACAGCATCAATCACAGCCTAAGGCTGTAAGTCTTGTAGGACTTGCCGAGAGTTTTGATTTGATATATTATAAGCCTCATTTGAAATAATGGAACAAAATTTACGGTCAAAACGTCGAGCAGAGAGCTAGGCGAGCGGTTTGGGCGAGCAGGGCAGCCTTTGGGCAAGCAGGAAGTGTCCTGGGCCGATTTTTTTTTTTTTGAAAGAACTTCGAAAAGCCAAGTCTTGTAGGACTCGCTGAGAGCTTCGATTTGATATATAATAAGCCCCTATTTGAAGTAATGGAGTGAAAGATACGGTCAAAATTTTGAGCAGGTAGCTGGGGGCGCAATTTGGGCAAGCAGGCAATCTCTGGACAAGCTAGAAGTGTCCTGGGCGAGCCTGGGGATGTCTTGGGCGTCTTGAGCGAGCCTGGGGTTGCCTTGGGCGCTTTCAGCGAGCTCCATTAAAGTAGGTGGCATGGTGGGCGCTAGCATGGGCGTGCAAGGGCTAGGCGAGTAGGCCCAGACGCTTCTCCAAGTGCGGGACTGCCCCGTTTGGGCGAACAGAGGAGGTCAGACGCCTCTCTAGGTGCTGGCCGCCCCGTTTGGGCAAGCATAGAGCATCAGACACCTCTCCAGGTGCTGGGCTGTCTTGTTTGGGTAAGCACATAGGATCAGACACCTCTCCAAGTGCTGAGCTGCCTCGTTTAGGCTAGCATAAAGAGTCAGACACCTCTCAAAGTATTGGGCTACCTTGTTTGGGCGAGCATAGAGCGTCAGACACCTTTTCAGGTGCTGGACTGCCTCGTTTGGGCACCTTAGGTGAGCCTGGGGCTGCCTCGGGCGCTTTAAGGGGATGCCTTGGGAGCTTTGGGCGAGCTTGTGGCTGTCTTGGGAGAGCTTGCTTGTGATGACAGAAACAATGTTATTCCAAACATTAAAATACCTCACATAATTACCTGGAGAGAGAGGTAGGCTGTTTGCGCAAAAACAAAGATAAAGTTGGAGAACTACTCGTGAGAGCTCTACACCTTTTGAGACCTAGCTTTTGGTGACCCATGAGAGAGTCTTTAAGCTTGAAGTATAGGCTTCCTGTTTGAGAACAGTGCAGATGTCAAGTTTTTTTGGCGATCCGCGAAAGAGCCGCTAAGCTGGAGATAAGCTGCCTATTTGAGAACAGTGTAAAGACCAAGCTTTTTTGGTGACCCGTGAGAGAGCCGCTAAGCTGGAGATAAGATGTCTGTTTGAAAACAGTGCAGAGGCCAAGCTTTTTTGGCGACCTCTAAGAAAGCCGCTAAGTTGGAGATAAGCTGCCTGTTTGAGAACAGTGGAGAGACCAAGCTTTTTTGGCGACCCGTGAGAGAGCCGCTAAGCTGGAGATAAGCTGCCTGTTTGAGAACAGTGCAGAGACCAAGTTTTTTGGACGACTCATGAGAGAGCCGCTAAGCTGGATATAAACTGCCTGTTCAAGAACAGTGCAGAGGCAAGTCAAGCTTCTAGTGATCTGCGAGATGATTCACCTTGTCTAGACCTGTTAATTTCCTTAGCATTCATATATTTTTGAGCATTTGCCAATAGTTCTGGGATGTTCTTTGGTGGTCGTTTCATTACTGAAAAAAAAAATCTGGATGAGTGGAGGCCTCCCAAAAAGGCGGTCATGGTGACTTTGTCATTGGGCTCCTCGATTTGGAGGACCTACTTATTAAAACGAGTGAGGTAACTCCTCAGACTCTCGTCTCGATCCTGTTTTATATTGAGCAGATGGGAGGCAGGCTTTTGTTGGCGACGTCCACCAATGAACTGTGCCACAAATGATCTGCTCAGTTCGATGAAGGAGTCTATGAAGGCCGGGGTGAGTTTGGCAAATCATTGTCGCGTTGATGCCTTCAAAATAGTTGGGAATGCCCTACACATAATTTCGTCGGAGACATTGTGCAGTTGCATTAAGGTCTTGTAGGTTTCGAGGTGATGAAGTAGATCATTCGTTTCGTCAAAGGTCTCCACGGACGACATTTTGAACTTTTGAGGGAGGTCTGTCTGCCTTACGAGGTAGTCCACTGTCTCGGGTTCCTACGCTTTTAGGCATTGAAGACGTCACCCAGTTGATTTTGTACTTTCTTAATTTTCTCGTTCCAATGATTGGGGGCTCCTCTGAAATGATCATGAAAATGACCACAATGCTTCATGTTTTGGTTTTCGTCATCATCTTCTTGGAAATGAAGGTCTTCACCATGGAAAGTAAGAGGAGCTGAAAGAGTAGGTGGATGTCTCTCATGATGGGCTCCCCTGTGTGGGGCGCCCAAAGGGACTCCAAAGAGGGCGCCCAAACCTGCATGGGTGCTTAAATGGGGAGCAGCAAGTTGTTGAGCTCCTTGATGTCTAGGGCGTGGAGCTCCTTGAAGTCCTTCAAGCTGAGCTCCTTCTTGTGCGGCGAGCATGAGTTGTAGGATCTGTTGGTTTTGGCCACCAGCTATTGCATGATCTCCAACATTTGCTGAGGATTTGGAACTGGAGCATTTGGGACAGGGTTGGTAGGTGGAGGAGCAACCTCCTCCTCTTGCTGTGGATTATCCTCAAGTTGATTCATAGATCTAGTGGTGATCGTCATAGGTTCAACAGAGGGAGTGTTTAAAAGTAAAAATTTAGTCGTTCCTATAGACGACGTCAAATTGATGATGCACAAAATAGTTTTGCATACCACTTGTCAAGTGTGAATAATAAATGCAAGAATAAACTAAGGAGATGGAGAGACACAAGCAATTTATAGTGGTTCGGTCAACGTGACCTACGTCCACTCTTGAATGACTTTGGTCACCGGATACGTTATTAGCTCAAGGATGTGGGGAACAAAGAGTACAAGTTTTAAGGGATAGGAGATAGTCGTGCTCGGGTAAAGTGTGATCC